TCAACAGATGGAGGAGAAGGATGGGAAGGAGGATCGGAGGTAGACGAGGAAGACGACACAGGAGACATGACAGACTGGGCAGAAAGAAGGGAGAACCCCACACAGAGGACCAGGAGGGGGACCCTTCGGGACAGAACTCAAAGGAACAGAGGAGGGGGCAGTGGGGGTATCCGGGTCCAAGGTCCGGAAACGGTTGTGGGTCTGAGGAAGGTGCGAAGGACGAGGAGAGGAAGTGCGCAACACTCGAGCATAAGAGACGTTAGCATAAGGCGGGAGCCGGCGAACTTGGCGCCACGCCTCAGGAAAAGATAAACGCTCCCGGTGCTTCAAGTTGAGGACGGCTGCCTCAAGCATGTAATGGACACACGCACGGGAGAAGGTAGGATGGGCCTCACCGCAGTTGAGGCAACGAGCTCGGGGAGAAGTGCACTCCGATTTGGAGTGACCTTCGCCCCCACACAAAGGACAAAGAGAAACAGTCCCAGAGCAGTGGAGGGCACCATGCCCAAACCTCCAGCACTTGTTACAAAGCTGAGGAGAAGGAATGTACTCCTGGACAGAGCACCTGGCACCAGCAAGAATGACAGAGGTAGGAATGGTCCTACCATCAAAGGTAATCTTCACAACCCGAAGGGATCTTGGTTATCTTGAGATGATTTCGGGGCTTTAGTGTCCCCGCGGCCCGGTCCTCGACCAGGCCTCCACCCCCAGGAAGCAGCCCGTGACAGCTGACTAACTCCCAGGTACCTATTTACTGCTAGGTAACAGGGGCATTCAGGGTGAAAGAAACTTTGCCCATTTGTTTCTGCCTCGTGCGGGAATCGAACCCGCGCCACAGAATTACGAGTTCTGCTGCCGAGTTCTGCAATCCGCCGGGATTGACGGCGACGACCACGAGGGGGACGAGTAAACGAGTCTACCTGGAATACAGAATGGCCTTGGGCATCAAGGATATGCCGAATATTATCGTGGCAGTCCTGCAGATTACGAACACCGGTCGCAATATGGGGCGGGAGAATAGTGCCAACACTGGCATTCAACCGAGTGTTCTTTGAGACCTGAACAGGGATCTCGCCAAGGCAGGATAAGGCAGCCAAGCAGGAAGCTGCATCCTGAGAAGGAGCATCAACGACGTGTACCGAGACGAGTGGGTTTGAAGGTAACAGAGGCATCCACGGAATCAACAAGATGCCGATGGAGGGAGAAATCACCAGGAGGCGCAGAATCAAGAGGAAGGAGATCAAAATATTTGGCCCATGAAGCGGGACCAAACAAGGCCTGATACGCATCAGTACGGGAAGGAATCGAGTCAGCGCGGACGGTGTTGAGAACCCCCAGAGAGAGGGGTTAAAAGGCGCAGTAGTCACAATGAGAGACTTAGCTGCACCAGGGGACGAAGTGGTCACCACTGGGGGCTTGAGGCTCGACCCAACCACAGAGGAGGGAGGGGAGCTGGGGGAAGAAGTCAGGACGGTTAAAGGAGGAGCAAGGTCGGGGCCCAACGCAGCGGGGTCTACAGAGCCCGGTATTCCAATACAAGACGACTTGGGGGCTTGGTCGCCCACCCCCGAGCCTGAGAGGGTACAACAGAAACATTCATCGACATACAGACGAAGAGAAATTCATCAACGAATGTGCCCCCATACCCACCATGGAGCCACAATTAGAGGCAGGACACCCAACAGGAAGCTATCGCCGATCATGCCCGGGGCCCCCTAGGGGTGCGTCGTGAGTATACGCCCCACAAACCCCACCTTAAGAACCGTCAGTCCATCTTGATCGGGTTCAGCGACGAAAGGGGGATTGACAATAAAAGGTTCCCCTCATTCGAGACGTTAGGTAATACAGTTCTACGGGTGCAAGAGTATGCATCCTCAAGCACCCGGACGTCAAAATAGAAGAAGTCCAAAGGAATAACCAAAACAAGCAAAAGGTTGACAGGAAACGACAAGCAGATAGAAGAGGGGGGGAGAAAAACGAAACATAAGGAAAAGGAAAAGCGATCCGGCACAATTAAAGACAGCAGCAGGAGTGCAAGGCCACAAAAGGACAGAGGACTGTCCCACGGAGCATCACACTCTGGCCGCTGTCCACCAAGCCTCCTCATGGAGCCAACGGGCCGGATGGGGAGGGGGTTCCAGGTAAAAAAGAATAGCAACAATGGAGGTCTTCGCAGCAAAAGCAGTGCGAATATAAACCTCCAAGTTCACCTGGACATCATTCATGCTGTGGCACTTGTGAAAACCAAATTGAAAAGGGGAGAGGTAGTGAAAGCGTTCCAAGAACCACATCAGACGAACATTGATCATTCGTTCAATGAGTTTGCAGACAACTTGTGAGGACATCAGGGTGGAAGTCATTAGGGGACGTCCCGAGACCCCCCGGTTTCCGAATAGGGAGTACAATGGCATTATTGAGTCAGTCTTCAGGGACTGACGACGACTCCCAGACCTGGTTATACAGACTGGGTAAATACATATAAATAAATAAATACGTGCAATGAGGGAGATGGCGAAGCATCTCGCAATGAATTTCGTCAGAGCCCACTGCCATAGAACCGCAGCGGGCAAGGGCAGACTGAAGTTTAGAGAGAAGGTATCGTTATAGGGAAGGCAGAGATGAGTGCAGAAATCTAGGGGATGAGATTTAAGAACAGACTTACGAAGGAAGGAAGGATTGAGGAAAGATTAGAACCAGAGATAACAGTAGAAAAGTAGGAACCCAGTTCGGTCGCAACCTTCACCGAGTCCGCCACAGAAGTACCACGGAGGTGAGGGACCGGTGAGTCATCTGGAACGAACTTACCTGCTATTTTGCGGACTTTCTTCCAGATTTGCGGTAAAGGATTATCGGACGTAATGGTGGAAACAAGATTTCCAACTCTCACATTTAGCTGTATGGATGGTCCTACGGGTTACCGCACTCGCCTTCCAAAACAAAATAGAAGAATCGGCAGTCTGCCGGCGTCGGTATTTCTTCCAGACTGCACGCTTACAACGGACAGTCCGAGCACAATCTTCATTCCACCAGGGAACGCACTTCCGCCTGTCCCAAGAAGTAGAGCGAGGAATAGAGTGGAGGGAAGCGTCGAAGAGCGTCATGAAAAAGGAGGAAGGCAGCAGGGAGAGGCAGAGCCTTGGCAAACTGCCACCTAGGGAAGGGAAGAGTGAAAAGAGAAAAAGGTAACAAGGATGGGGAAATGGTCAATTATGGAGGTAATCAAGAACCTGCCACATGAAATCTAAGAGACAATGAGCAGAGAGAAAGATCAAGAAAGGAAAGGGTGCGAGAATGAGAGTCCACATGAGTGGGTTCACCAAAATTCAGAAGAGGCAGAGGAAGAGGACATATGGTTAAAGGCGGCGGCCTAGGGTGTTTGTCCAACCCGTCCTCTTAAAAATAACGTCACTTTTCGCTGGTATGCGCACTATGGCCAATTTTGGACGTAATTTGAAATGAAATCAACTCACAAAAGTGACGTTCTGTTCCGTTTTCTATTTGAGTCGTCCGACCTACGCGGAGAGGTTATGAGAGGACACTTTAAATTCACGTTTTTCATACCGTTTTGAAACAATTTCCTGCCCACCTAACCTATCAGAGGACCCTTAATTTACAGTTCTACAGGCGCAAGTGTATGCCTCCTCAAACACCCAGGCATCAAAAAAAAACAAAAAGCCGAAAGAATCAACGGTACATGCACAAGGTCAGCGGGAAATGACAATCAAATGAGAAGAGGCACTTCCTCCCCCAAGGAACCAAAACAAAAGGAAAAGGAAAAGGTGTCTAGCAAAATTTGTAAGGACAGCAGCAGGAGCACAAGGCCACAAAGGGCAGGACCGGCCCATGGAGCATCACACTCTGGCAGCTGCCCCACCAAGCCCCCTCACGGCATCAATGAGCCCAACAGGTAGGGGAGGATCAGATGTGCAAGTTTCATGCACCTTGCATGATTAAATTATTTTTTTAAATCAATTTTTTTGGAAAACTACACGTTTTATATGCTATTGTGATGGAGTGAAATTTCAGTTGATACTTACGTTTGGTGTTAGAACATTAAAGTTTTGGAAAATTTGCAATTTTGTCCTATTTATGCTAGGATGCCTTGATAAACCAGATGAATTTTTTCGTACACTGCTAAAGAAGTCATCGAAATCTAGTTTTCATTTATTGCACATTTGAGATATGCTCACTTTAAAGTCTGGGGGCTTGGAACCAAGTGATACCACCCACCAGGGAGGCCGAGCACGGGCCAGTGCAGGAAGGGGTGCGTCGTACCCAGTGGTTCTCCCTTTCTTTAAAGGGGGGGGGGGAATGGGGATTCCTACAGCTTCGTCCATTCTTCCACACTGGTGCATAGACCCCCCATTCCCCCAGCCTGGACACCCAACTATCCACTTAGGGCAGCCCCTCACGGGTGATCCCCTCCAGTGGGTAGTCCGACGCCTAGGCCTGTACATGGTGCCCTTCAGCAAGTGAAATACCCAAACAGGGGAAAGAGAGGGGAGGCAAAGGTAACTTTCTCCGATCCCAGGGAGGTGTACGCGAGCCCTACGCCACAAGGCGATATCATTGAGGGACGCTAGCTCAGAAGTACACTACAAGGTCGAGCCCATTAACATTACACCTCTAGGTTGTCATGTCTGGAGGTGTAATGTTTCATCTCGTGTAGAAGCTAGTTTTACCTTCAAAAGAAAACTAATCAAAACTAAAATAAAATGGTTATTAAATTTTTTTACTATAGAGAAGCGATATTATATAAATTAAAATCCAATCTAAAGAAGTACCATAGACGAAGCCGTAGGGGGTAGTTAATCTATAGGACTTCTGCTTCAGATACCTAGTCATTTTCTATTCTAACAATATAATTTACAGCAGAGATATTGAGAACTGCGTGGAAGGCTATCTAGGATGTGATCATGAACATTCACGTTTAATAAATTCAAAAAAGGTAAATGTTGGCACATTCCTAGCTTCAGGTATTTGAAACTTAAACATTAAAGATCACTTCAAACTTTATTCAGGAAACAAAAGTAAATATTTAAGCACTCATTACACACTAGAGAGGAGGAAGCCAGTGAAGGAAGTGTAAGATTCGTTGCCGGGGTGTTCATATATGGCACCCTGATGCAGCTCTAAAGAGATCTTATCCATCGCCTTCAATGCCAAGACGACAGAATTGGAGCCAACTTCAAAAGTAGTTAGAGTTCCATATGCCGTCACCTTGGGCATACCATTCAGTGTCAAGGACATCCTGGGTAGGAATAATCAAGTTAGTCTTAATCTTATATAAATATAAATGGAAATGTTCGTTTGTTCAAAATCGCTAATATCTGAAAGTTCTTCACGAATCGCCTTTCAATTTTCACACAACGTTCCATTGGCATCCGAGTGGGTTTTTATATACATAATATATAGGTGTCACGTCGGTGACTGGGGAAAAAAAATTTCCCCAAAGTTCTTTTTTGTGTTTTTTCCATGCGAGGGAAATCTTTAAAACCCCTCAACCGATTGCTTTGACATTGACAACATTGCATTTGAATAGGAGTGTTTTTATATACCTACTTTAGACATGCCTCACCTGTGACATGAAATTTTTTAAAACAGCTCCGTCTGTAGGATGCAAGAGCAACACCCTGTAATCTCTGAAAATTCTTCACCAATTGCTTTGAAATTTTGACAACGTTTCATTCGAATACATGAGTTTTATACGTTTTAATATACCTATTTAGATGCCACACCTGTGACGGGTAAATTTTTTTTTTTTTTAACAAACGGCGCTATCTGTTGAATGCAAGTGTAACATACGATATGCAAAAAATATATGTTACATTGTCATGCCAATGATTGATTGCATATGCATACATTGGGATTTATTTTCATTTTTAATTGAAATTAGTATTTGTCGTCCATTTTGTTCTCAAAAAAATAAGTTTATTTCATAGCTGCAAATGTGCAACAAACTGCTATGAATCCACCGACTACAATTTAACTGCACGTTATGTCTAAATGACGAGTTCGCGAAAACACGGCTGTATTCGGAAGTGACTACGTATTGCATGGAAAGTCTGTAGAAAATCATTTGAACGACGCAAACAAGGTGAGCGAGTCTACGAGACAGCCTGGCATATTTAAATAAACTAAGATAAGCAGACTGTACACCGTGCATCCCAATCAAGACTAATGCTTCTTCCAATGCTGTTGGTATATGTGCCTTGTCCAATGTCTTTCCAGCAATTGAGATTTGTCAAAGGCGTCACTCGTGCCACTTTCTGTAGTGAATGTCCAGCTCTGAATTCATTGGAGAACGACCGACACTGGGATGTATGCATTAATGCGCGTCCAACACGGCACATACAATTCAAATTCGTACATTTTTTGCAGTCATTGACCGCTTTCTCTCCATCTCAGTATGGGAGAAATATAAATCTCACATGGCTGTAGATATTATCCGTCGAATAAGGAAGGAAAATTCAATTGTGAACATTGATTTCATAGGAAAAATCTACAACGAAGCATTGATAATCATTGAAGGTTATTGCTTAGAAATCTTGAGCAAAGTCCTCAATTGGAAATGCCATCACCGAATCTATCGGCCGCTTTGTTCGATGTAGAATTGCGTCGTGAACAAAATTACAACTATGGTGATCTGTTTTATGTGCACTTAAATATTCCTAAGCTAACTCTTTAGCTAAAAGGCATTTACAATCAAATAGTTTAAACTAACTGTCAATTACGGGCTTTGAGAAATCTTTTAAGATGCGCCAAGAGGAACTGGTAGAAGTTTCCCAATTAGATTGATTCTGGTAGCATTTCTATCCCAAAATGACAACCTTGGCTCTTGCATCATCCGGAGTAGCTGCAACATTGCTACCAGGTAGAAGACCTATTTCTGCTTTCAAGTTGCCATTGAACATGCAATTCATTGAAACTCCCTCGTGCAACATTTCCAAAGGGTACGGCATGGGAAAAGTATTGCAAACTTTTTTTTGAATTAATGTACAATGGTCCATGAAAAACTTTAGGCTCTTAATCGATCACCGAGAGATGTTCGTGGAAACAGGCTATTTGGGAACTATATTGCTTTCAAGAGATTTTGGGCAAACATTACCTGTAATTCCTCGATTGACACCAGCTACTAAATAAATGCTCTACTGAAATACACCACTTTGTGGCGCCACATAAAGACGTTAAATTTAACTACAAATATGCGTGTCCAGCTGCAAAACGATCCAATAGCCGAGATATTCTCGCATCAATTTATGGAAATTGGGAATGGAAACATGCCGGTTGATCTGACCTCAGGACGAATTTCATTGCCTCAGAACTTCAACAATTTAGTGACGTCAAAAGAAGAATTGGTTGAAAAGTATTTCCCAATATTCTAACTAATAAGACTCACGATTGGCCGAGTGAACGAGCTATTTTTGTGGTTAAGAACAGACGTCTATGAACATATTACTCTAACATCCAAAGCAAGGCAGTCACGTACAAGTCCGTCGACACTAAGCAGATTAAGCGGTTAATTATCAAACAATTGTTGAATTCACTGACAGGGATACCATCACATGAACGTCAACTTAAAATCTGCTTGCCAATCATTTTGCGAAGTATTAACCAGCCAAAACTTAGCAAGGTCACGCTCCTTTCAGTAAAAAAAAAATTAAGCAACGCCGCAGAAGCAACAATCTTTACAAGAACTTTCAAATGTGAAGATGTCCTCATTCCTCGCATTCCTATTATTCCAACCGATATGCCATTTCAATTTAAGAGATTATAATTTCCAATTCGATGACCGTTTACAATCACCAACAAAAGCTCAGGGCCAATCTAGTATTGTGCAGTTATATGTAGACACGGATTGCGTCTCACATGGACAATTATACGTTGAGAGCGCAAGAGTCGGCAAATCAGAATCTATATCTTCACAGACTATACCAAAAATATTGTATTCCCACAAGCATTGATTATTTAACAATAGAAACGGGCGCGTTCTCTTTCCCCATTTATCCAGATTGAGCCACGGCAACGCTTGGTGTGTACAGCTAGTCATAAAAAATGATATGCCCAAAAAATTACAAGTATTAACTCACGTGAAGTCACTGGCATTCGCTCCAATAGCGTGGAATATGAAGAAGTAATGTCCGTCATAGGGAGCAACAAACTCGCTGACTGCTGGATCCCATCCGGCTCCTGCGTTAGTCAAGACGTCCTGTGGGTAAAGTTTAAGTATTTTCTGAATTTTACACACCAAGGTATCTTAGATAATACAAAACTGCTAAGCCAAGCTTCCTGCTTACCCTGAAGTGAATGTGAGCGAAGGCACTAAGTCTTTCTGTAGCTTTCGTCACACAGAAGGCCACTCTACGACCACTGGGGAAAAAATAAGTGGATTATCTATCAAGAATTCTGTAATATATGTACATACAAGGTCAATGCTGCACAAAGAAAATTCTACTCACGCAATTACTGGGGTGGACAGAACTGAAGAACCGTCCGCTGGTGCTTGCCTGACCTTCACAGTGTGGGGAGGTTTGGGAGTATCCGTCTTATTTGACGTGATATTTGTAGATTCAGTTAGGTTTACAGCGCGTGATGCTGTGGTAGCATTTCCGGTTGCATTTCCAAGGTGGGCAAGCTTCGTGGGTTTCACAACAGTAGTATTTAGAACCTCTGAAGGTGCAGATTTTGTTAATGTAGCAGGAATGGCAGTAGTGTGGAGTACACAAAGATGGACCACGGCCAGGAACGCCAGCATCACGTAGTTGCTTCCCTGCATCTATTAATGTAATCCAACACGAACCATTAATAGTCGTTAGCAATAATTGGGGGTTTTAAACTATATGGGGCAAGATTGTTTATTTTGATTATGCATCATAGGTCTTAAAATTTCATATTACTCAAACTCATCGATAGTAGCATTTGTGTGTACAGACGGTATACCACAATACATTAACAATTAATGTAAACCTTCCTAAGACCATACACATGTAGCACGCTTCATTAAATTTGTTTGCCTACTTAAACCATCACTGGATTCTTAATACCACGACCGTAATCATTTGTACTTACTATCACGAGAAAGTCTGAATCACAAGTACAGCCTCCTCACACGAAACACGAAGTAATAAGTAGAGGAAAACTTAAACCAAACACTTCTCACGAAATCAAGAGTCAGAATAATCAAACGGCCGGGAGAGTCAACCCTTGTAAGCTCGTAAGGGTTGACACTCGTAAAGGTTGCATAGCCATCAGACAGGAATCTCCAGTACGTCACTCCGCCAAGCTGGCGGCTGGAGTCAACAACGCCACCTGTTGACAGAACTGACAATTAGGATTAACAGAAAAATATTTCAATCCGTTTTCTAAGGTAATTATTTATATTATATACTAGCTGTGCCCGCCACGCGTTGCTGTGGCTCAACCTGGTTTAAATGGAAAAGAAAGAAAAGAGAAAGTGTAAGGTTCTAATTTGTTTAATATCACAATGCTTGTGGGAATACAATATTTTTTGTTGTTCTATTGTCTGTGAAGATATAGAGATTGTCTGATTTCCGGACTCTAGAACTCGCAACATATAATTGTCCATGTGAGAAGCAATCCGTGTCTAGATATAAACTGCCCAATTCTAAAGATTGGCCCTGAGCTTTGTTGATGGTGATTGCAAACGCCAATCTAATTGGAAATTACAATCTCTTAAATTGAAATAACACATCTGTTGGAATAATAGGAATGCGAGGAATGAGAACATCTTCACCTTTGAAAGGTCTTGTCAAGATTGTTGCTTCTGCTGCGTTGCTGATTATCTTTTTTACTGCAAGGCGCGTGACCTTGCAAAGTTTTAGCTGGTTGATATTTCGCAACATGATAATTGGCAAGCCGATTTTCAACTGCCGTTCGTGTGATGGTATCCCTGGCAGATCGAGTGAATTCAACAATTCTGTTGAATAATTAGCCGCTTCATCTGCTTCCACAACAGTGTCGACGGACTTGTATGTGACTGTCCCGCTTTGAATGTTAGACTGAATAATATTGTTATGTTTATAGACGTCTTTGTTCTAGGCCGCAAGATTAGCTCGTTCACTCAGCCAATCGTGAGTCTTATAATTGGTTTGAATATTGGGAAATACTTTCTCAACCAATTCTTCTTTTGACGTCACTAAATTGTAGAAGTTCTGAGGCAATGAAATTCGTCCTGAGGTCAGATCAACCGGCATGTTTCCATTCCCAATTTTCATAAATTGATGTGAGAATATCTCAGCTGATGGATCGTTTTGCAGCTGGACACGCATATTTGTAGTTAATTTTAACGTCTTTATGTGGCGCCACAAAGTACAGTATTTCAGTCGAGCATTTATTTCGTCCGTTGGTGTCAATCGAGGAAGTACAGGTAATGTTTGCCTGAAATCTCCTGCAAGCAATATTAATGAGTTCCCAAATAGCCTGATGTTTCCACGCAAATCTTGCAATGATCGATCAAGAGCCTCGAGCTATTTTTTGTGGGCCAATGTGCATTTATCCCAAAAAATAAGTTTGCATTTCTGCAATACTTTTCCCATGCCGGATCCTTTGGAAATGTTGCACGTGGGAGTTTCAATGAATTGCTTGTTCAATGGCAGTTTCAAAGCCGAACTAACAGTTCTTCTACCTGGTAGCAATGTCGCAGCTATTCTGGACGTTGCAAAATCTAAGGTTATGCCATTTTGGGATCGAAATGCTGCCAGAATCAATCTAATTAGGAAGCTTTTACCAGTTCCTCTTGGCGTATCTTAGAAGATTTCTCCAAGCCCGTTATTGGTAGTTTGAGTTATTTGACTGTAAATGCCTTTTCGCTCTAGCGTTGGGTTAGGAATATTTGATTGCACATATGACAACAAATCACCCGAATTGTAATTTTTTTCACGACGCAATTCTACATCTAACGAAGCAGCAGCAGATCGATTCGGTGATGGCATTTCCAATTGATTGAGAACTTTGTTCGCGATTTCTAAGCACATATCTTCAATGATTATTAATAATTCGTTGTAGATTTTTGCTGTGAAATCCATATTCATATTTGAATTTTCCTTGCTTATTCGACGGATAATATCTACAGCCATATGCGATTTATATTTCTCCCATAACTCTGTTGGAGATGAAGAAGAGCAGGTTGTCAATATGATTGCAAACAATGCACGAATTTGATTTGGATGTGACGTGTTGGACACGTCATTAATGCATTCACCCCAGTGTAGGTCGTTCTCCAATAAATTCAGAGCTTAGCATGCAATACAGAAAGTGGCATGTGTTACGCCATTGACAAATCGCAATGGCTGGAAAGACGTTGGATCGGGCACATTTACCAACAGCATGCGAAGAAAGAAGCATTCATCCTGATTGGGATGCACAGTGTACAGTCTGCCTATCATAGTTTATTTTTTTTTCTTTTAATTTGGGAAACCCAAATACAACAAAACAGGAAAACATCATCAGCATCATTCACATGTACAAAGCAGAAACACACCGACAAACAGTAGAACAGGAAAACACACAAACAAAATTCATACATAACACAAAATGGAATCTTCAACATTGGTAACAATGAAATACATTCAAAAAAAGAAAAAACACTATAGCATTATAACCCAGCAATAACTAGGTAAGAAAACAGGAAAACAAATAACCCGTATCACATAGCTCATCAAAACAAATAAATAAATAAAGCAACACAAAACAAGAACCACACACACAGTTAATCATCTTCATGTTTAGCCGGATAGAAACGATACGGGTACTTCTTCCTGTAGGCATCCCACTGTGCCCACAATTCAGTAGGCGAGTTAACGTGACTATGTGATCCTCGCGATCGATACATGAAGTCAGGAACCTCCAGCTCGGCGCCCTCCACCACGGGGGCGGTAGGCACGGGAAGAGGCCGCACAGAGGGCTTTGATACAGACAGTGGAACCACGCGGGACTAAAGCACAGGAGTCGGCCGGACACAGGCCGGCAACATAGCGGGCGGAGTCGCAGGGGACGCAATCACAGAGGGCGATGGTGCAAGGGCCGACACCACAGGGGGCGGAGTAACAAAGGACAGCTGAGCAGAGGGCAAAAGCGCGAAAGGCAGACATAGACGCAAGAGGTACGGAGGCCGCCGGAACAGAAGCATTTTTAAGAACCAGCACCAAGTCCCCTCCCTCTCCCGAAATCTCGGCCGGTGCCACAACTCCCAATTCAGGGAACCAGCAACTGGTGACGCGGAGGCAGCCGGAGAAGACACCGAACCAAGGCCAGGCAACAGTCCCACCACAGGACCCATCACCGCTGCAACACGGCCCATAGGAGCCGCAGGCACTCCAACAGCGTCGCACGCATCACCATCCACAGAAGACGAACTTCCGGAGCCCTCAAATTCCCTGACGTCAGCCCAGGTCTCATCACGAGGCGGAGACAGACTCAAAGCTCGCCGCGAACGCTTGGACGCAGGTCGCAGATCGTCGGAATTATCACCCCCGCCAGGAAGCACCGTAGCAGAACCACTGGTTGTTCGCACAACTCCCCGCAGCGCACGATCACTCAACATCGCAGCCTCAACAACCCGGGGAACAGGACCACACACCGCAGGAGACATCACAGTGTGCACATCGACGGTCGAAGACAGCTGCCGGAGACAGTACAGGCCGAGGCGCAACCTCGACGTCTGGAGTCACGAGATCACACATCACAGGAGACACAACTGGAGACTCGACTGGAGACGAGGCAGGCAGGGGAGGCTGAGGTGCAAGAGCCGGGGATGCACTAACTTCAACTACGACACCCACAGCCAGTATGCTCCTGGCAGTATGGGTTCGAGTCACTTCTGGGGTGTGAGTTTTCAGTTGCATATAGTCCTGGGACCATTAAGGCTTGTTCGCATTTGTGTTCCTCACGTGTGCCCCAAAGAATGAGGTGATTTGATAAAATGCTATGCCCAAGATTACCATCTGAGTGCAGGCGGGGAAGTGGTTCAAATAGCTTCGGCTATCACTTCCTTATGTCCGGTCATGATGGTCAAGCGGATTAAGGCGTCCTGTATATACCAGTTGCGTTGCTCCTGGCAGTATGGGTTCGAGTCACTTCTGGAGTGTGAGTTTTCAGTTGTATATAGTCCTGGGGACCATTCAGGCTTGCTCGCATTTGTGTTCCTCACGTGTGCCCCAAAGAATGAGGTGATTTGATAAAATGCTATGCCCCATACTCCCAGGAGCAACGCACTGGTAACTACAGGACGCCTTAATCTGCTTGACCATCACGACCGGACATAAGTAGGTGATAGCCGAAGCTATTTGAACCACTTCCCCGCCGGCTCTCGGATGGAAATCATGGGCACAGCATTTTATCAAATCACCTCATTCTTTGGGGCACACGTGAGGAACACAAATGCAAACAAGCCTGAATGGTCCCCTGGAAGCCTGGAAACCCACTTTGGCCAATCATCAGCCAGATACCCACACCCACGTAAAGACTGGCGAAGCGACTCAACGGCTTGCTGACTCCTTATGTCCCTTGCGCCTTCAGCCTGAAGTCTCCAAAGGAATTTGTTGACTTACTGTGGGGAACACGGGTCATAGGGATAAGAGCCTCGTTGGACGTAGAATCGCTGTTTACCAACGTACCTGTGGATGAAACAATCGGGATGATAGCGGACAGAGTGTATCATGATCCGGCCTGTACTTCTCTTGACATATCAGAAAACATTCTAATGAAACTATTCCGCTTGTACTAAAGAGGCACCCTTCTTGAGCCCGGATGGGCACATGTATAAGCAAGTAGATGGGGTCACCATGGGTTCTCCCCTAGGTGTCCTGTTTACGAACTTCTACATGGGTACCATCGAACAAAAGGTCTTAGTCGACATGAACTTGAAACCGGCCATATACTGCAGGTATGTTGACGACATTTTTACACAGGTACCTAAAGTCAGACATCTGCAGGAGCTGAAGGAGGCATTTGAGCTGAATTCTGTGTTGCGTTTCACTTACGAAATGGAGAAGGATGGGAAGCTGCCCTTTCTAGATGTAACAGTCATGGAAAGGAGGGAGGTTTCCAGACTGCAGTCTACACTAAGGAAACAAACATAGGAATGTGCCTCAATGCCAACAGTGACTGCTCAGACAGGTACAAGAGGAGTGTTGTTAATGCCGTGTATGTCGACCGTGCTCTCAGCCACAACTCAGGATGGAAGCAAGTCGATGAAGAACTCT